ACATTTCTGGTAGTCAAGGTTTCTATTGGCTTAACCAGTGAACCAAACTAAAAGGCAGCAGATAGTCCTCCCTCCTAAATCATATACTAGGTAATTAGTTAAAACTTAATATATTAAGTCCTGGCCAGGTAGCTCAATTGGTTAGAGTGTCATCCCAACTTGCCATGGTTGTGGGTTCAATCCGCAGTTGGGTAATCCAGTGAATAGGTAAGTGGAATAAAAGTTGTGTCTCTCTCCCCCTGCCCCTCTAAAAAGCAATAAATTTTTATTTATTTATTTATTTATTTATTTTTAATTAATTTATTTAATTTTTAAATACATTTGTCTCTGCCTTCCCCCCACCTCTTTCCCTTGCCCCCTCCCACCTTCCCTCCCTCAGCTCTTCCCCTTTGGTTTTGTCCATGAGTCCTTGCTATATGTTCCTTGACTTTGCCTTTCCCTTCCTTTTCCCTGCCCCCACCCTTCCCTCTTGTCTCTGTTGATTTCTTTTCCTTTCAGTGTTGCTGGTCATATTTGCCTTGCTTCTTTGCATTGTTGGTTAGGTTCCACTTATAGGTGAGATCATATGGTATTTGTCTTTCGCCCCCTGGCTTATTTCACTTAGCATGATGCTCTCCAGTTCCATCCATGCTGTTGCGAAGTTTAGTACTTCTTTTTTTCTTTCTGCTGCGTAGTATTCCATTGTGTATATGTACCATAATTTTTTGATCCAATCATCTACTGATGGGCATTTAGGTTGCTTCCAACACTTGGCTATTGTAAATTGTAAAAAGCAATAAATTTTTAAAAATTTAACATTTTGTTTAAAAAAAAATTCAAGGATGGTGGGTCTGAAGGTGTTATGAACATGAAACATTTATTTTTTTTTTAATTTATTTATTTTTTTCAAATACATTTGTTTCTGCCTTGAAATAGCACAACTGCCCTGGCTGGTGTGGCTCAGTGGATTGAGTGCTAACCTGTGAACCAAAAGGTTGCGGATCCAATTCCCAGTCAGGGCCCATGTCAGTGTTGCAGGCCAGGCCCCCAGTAGGGGGTGTGTGAGAGGCAACTACACATGGATGTTTCCTTCCCTCTTTTTCTACCTCCCTTCCCCTCTAAAAATAAATGAACAAAATCTTTAAAAAAATAAGACAAAACAGTGCAACTCCCATTAAGCATTTCAATAAACTTCAAGTGTGTTAATAATAGTAGTAAAAATACCTCTTTTACTTTAGTACTGCTTTAAACCCTCAAAATGATACATCATTAAAAAAATTAAAGAGTAATCAATAATACCAGGAATATGAGACAACGGTCTCGGGCAAATTACCCTCAAATTATTTTCCCATATTACCACAGCTTCAAGTTCTACGTGATTAATAGCTGATTTGCTTGCAGGGAGCGTTATTAATAGGTTTTAAATATTTAATATAAAACAATATATGAATATGTCAATAAAGTCAAACATTCTGTTAAAGCACATGGAACATTTACTAATGCTCTCAAATGTTTGGAAATTAATCAATATGTTTGATACATAAATTATGGAAATAGGGAAATATTTTTATCTGAATGAAAACAAACATACCACCTAACATAATAAGAGCTGCACCTAACTAGATTAGAGGGTAATTTACTGTCTTAAAGGCACATAATTTGAAAAGAAGAAAGTCTGTAAAACAGTGAGCAATGTGTTTAACTCAAGATGCCAGAAAATAAAAAACATACATAATCTAACAAAAAGGGTTACATCACAACCAACTTTCGTTTATTCTATGAACACAAAGTTGATTTGTTTTACTTATTTACTTTTTTATTATTGACACTATTACTTTTGTCTCCATATCCCCTCCTTTGCTCACCTCTACCTAGCTTCCACCCACCTTCCCTCTGGCCACCACCACAGCACTGTCTGCATCTATCTATAGGTTTAGCATATACGAAGGAGAAACCAAAAAACCCCGGAATTTGTTACAAATAATTTGTATTTATTCTTACGTGTTTAAACTTCAGTCACCTTCCAAGTACTCATTTGATGCAATACACCTATTGAGGTGCTTTTCCCACTGCCCAAAATAGTTTTTGAACTCGTAGATTTTGACGTTTAGTGCTTTTTCCGTTTTTTGTTTCACCTCTTCCACATCAGAAAAACATTTCCCTTTGAGGACTTTTTCCATCCAGGGTAACAAAAAAAAAGTTGTTGGCAGTGAGATTGGGTGAACAGGCAAGGTTGGGCATGGGGGTGACACCATTTTTGGAAAGAAAATACTGCTGAACGCTCAGCATAGTATGGGCAGGTATGATAGAAAATCAGCCATCATTAAATCAGCAAACATGTTGAGTCTTCAAACGAAATTCACTGAAGTTGAATGCAGCCTCTCACAACAATGCCAGATGGTACTGATACAGATGGGTTCCTAGAACACTCACCTAGCAGGGGAAGCCTATACTCGAAGGGACCCAAACCCCAAAAGATAATTTCTGGGTTTTTTTCCGGTCCTCTCTCATGTTCTTTGGCTAATCCCTTCACCTTCTTTTATCCAGTCTCTCCTTTCCCACTGACAGCTGTCGGTTTGTTCCATGTGTCCATGCCTCTGTTTCTACTTTGTTCATCAGATTCCACATATAAGTGAGAGCATAAAGTATTTGTTTTTCTGACTTATTTCACTTAATATTCTCTAGGTCCATCCATGCTGTCACAAAAGGTAAGATTTACTTTTTTTAATAGCTGCATAGTATTCTATTTTGTAAATGCATCAGTTTTTTAATCCACTCATCTACTGATGGACACTTGGGCTCCTTCCAGATCTTGGCTAAGTAATGCTGCTATGAACAAAGAGGTGCACACATTCTTTTGAATTGGTGTTTCAGGAGACCTAAGATATATTCCCAGCAGTGGGATCTCTGGGACAAAAGGCAGCTCCATTTTGAATTTTCTGAGAAAAATTCCATACTGTTTGCCAGTGGCTGCAAAAGTCTGCATTCCCACCAACAGTACATTAAGGATCCCTTTTCTCCACATTGCTGCCAGCACTTGTTTGTTGAATAATTGATGGTAGCCATTCTGGAAATTGTGAGGTGATATCTCATTGTGGTTTTAATTTGCATTTCTCTGATGATTATGACATTGAGCATTTTTTCATGTCTGTTGGCCATCTGTATATCCTCTTTGGAGAACTGCCTATTCAGGTCCCCTATATGTTTTCACTTATTTGTATCTATCCCAATTTCTTTCTTCAATGTCCTATAGTTTTCCAAGTATAGGTCTTTTACCTCCACAGATAAATTTATTCCTAGGTATCTTCCCCCCCGCCCCCCAGAGGCCTAACAAAGTCCTATCAGGACTCCATGTTCATAAACTGGTTGGTTTCATGTTCATACAGTAAGTACTAAAGTCCTGTTCTGCTGAGCCAAACTGTTTTATCTTATAAATAATTCATTCACCTACAAATCCAAGGCCCTGAAAACTGTAATTCTTTATTTTAAATTCTCATTGGAGGACATGCTTATTGCTTTTAGAGAGAAAGGGGGAGGGAGAAGAAAGAAACACGGATGTGGGAGAGAAACTTTGATAGGTTCTCGTGCACAACCGACTGGGAATGGAACTGCAACCTAGGCACATGCCAGGACCAGGTATCGAACCTGTGACCTTTCAATTTACTGGATGACAGTCCAACAAAGTCACACAGGCCCAGAGAAGAGAACTAGAATTTTTACTTACATTACTAATGTCTAACCCTCCTTTACTGCCTTAATCATTTCTTAGTTTTACCCACTTTTGAGGCTTTAGGTGCACTGCCTACAATTTTTTGGAACCAACAAAATTAAGATTGTATGAATAGGCAAAGGCTGTTAATTCTAAAGATACTATCCTCCTAGCCAGATATTTTCTATGTGTGAAGCACTGTGTTAAATGCAGGTTTACAAATGTGTGAAGCACTGTGTTAAATACAAAATACTGGAAGGTTGGATCCACCTCTCACCTCAAGGCACTTACAATATATCTGGGAAAATTAGATCTAAAAATGTTCCTATCTTTAGTGCAGTGCAACTAACAATAGTATTAATGGCAGTGGACTTCAGTTATTTATTTCCTGGACAGTACTTTTAAATGTCAGCAAGTGTATACACTGCAGTTCATCTCTATTTCCTCAGGACCCAACACAGCTGCTAGCACAGAGTCGCTCATTTAAAAGTTTCCTGAATGACTGAAGAAAAGAATTAACACAAGGTAGCACAATATGAGTGGGAAATTAATTGACGATTAAAAGAACGTATGACTACCTTGTGGGACCTTTGGTCACCTCCTCCCTTCATCCCAGCCTCCAGTTCACAATTCATTCCCTCACTTAATAATGGGATATACACTAAGAGCTAACTGCCCGCTGGGCACTGGATTAAGTACCAAGATTAACAAAATCATATTCCCTGTATCCAAGGAGCCACTCTAGTAGACCAGCATTTAAGGAATGCTGATGCTTTAAGCGCCGAAACAGAGCCGAGAAGAGGACTCACCTCATTGGTGCGGGGGTCAGGGTCGAAACCGGCAGAAAGAGGTGGACTCAGGAAGCGGAAGGGTGAGCACCAGGCGGTGGGAGGGGGGATGTTAGGTATGGCTGGTGGAGGCCATCAAATGATGCCGCGGGGACAGGGTGGCAGTGGTCAGGTTCTAAAGACCTTTGAATGCACCCTCTAGGTTGAGATACTGGTCTAATGGACGATTTAAATTTTTTTACTTTTCAATTACAGTTGATAAGCCTGATGATTTCACACCAGAAAACTAACTATGGCTTCGGCACAAACTGAAACGACGGCGTGGACATGGACTCAGCTGCAGACTAATTTCAACGTCACCCCTTTCAAGTAGTGTGGCCCCAGCCAGGTATGTCAACACCGAGCACCCTGTGAAGCCGTCACCGACCCTCATACCCAGCCCCGAAGGCTGTTCCGGCGACACAACCTTCACAACTTCCCGAGACTCCCATTCCGCAGCCCCCGCGTCCGGCCGGCTCACGCACCCCTTCGGTCTTCATGTCCAGGATCCTCTCCACCTCGAACACATCCTCCCCGTCCTCCTCGCTGTCCCCCAAGGCCTCCGCTCCTTTCGTGCCCAAGTCCCTCTCATCGCCCACCGCTCCCTCGCCTTCGCCTACAGGCGGCTGGTTGTGGGAGCCCGACACGGGAACGGCTGCTACGCTCGCCGCCTCTGCAACGGTTGCTGCCATAGCAGGAGCGCGGCAAAACACCGCCACTCGAGCGGTCGCGAGGCACTCCCAGCGCTCTCGGCGTTCTGCCCTTGTCTGCTAGCCCCTTGTGACGCCACTGGAAGGGAGCAGGCAATGGCGGGCGGGGAGCCCAGAGCGATACGCTCACCAACCAATCACGTCGAGGCGGGCGCGTCAGCGTCCCGTGGTGTCCACAGGAAGTGGGTGGGCGGGCCGATGGGCGCTGAGGGGAAGAAGAGCTGGGAGGGTGCCTCAGGGCCCACGGTAAGGGGCGGGGAAGAGCAGTGAGGGATTTTTCGCGGCGAGTAGGGATGCCGGAGCGGGGTCGCCCGCTTACCTGGGCCCCGGGAGGGGTCGGGCGTACAGGAGGGTAGCCGGCGCTGGAGGACACTGGCCCTAGTCTGACAATCACCCTCTATAGTCTGGCGGGCGGACCCGAAACTTTCTAGGGAAAGACCCCGGAGCTCCGGAGACGGCCTGGAGACGAGCGTCCAGCAATTCACATGTGAGATTGGGGCGCGTCTGACGCGTGTCCAGCCAACTCAGTGTGCTGTACACTCTAGGGAGTATTGTTCAAAGTTAAGGACACTTTTTTATTATCAGGCTTTCCAGATAATACCTGGGTGTTTTTTTGTTGTTGAAAATACCTGACGGGGGTGTGGTGAGATGGGGACTGAGTGAAAAAAGTGAAAGGATTAAATACAAATTGGCAGTTACAAATAGGGGCCGTAAAGTCAAGCATAGGTAATATAGTCAATAAAATCGTAGTAACTATGTACGTGGCAGGTGGGTACTAGAAATATCAAGGGGCCACTTTATAAAGTATGTGATTGTCTATACTAACTGTACACCTGAAACTAATGCAAAGTAATACTGAATGTAAACTGTACTTGAAGGATAAAATGAAAAAAAGAAAATAATTGGAGGATGTGTTAAAATTATCTTCTCCAGGTTGTACATGATTGACAAAGGTAGTCACCCAAAGTTGCTAGGAAAGTCCACTTAAGGGTAAAAGTTTTTCTCACTTTGAATTGCAAATAGTCTTTATGACAGCAAGCATTTCATTTTTGTTTCTTCGAACGGTGTGCTTAATCTCCAAGATTATCTCTGAGGTTAACTAAAGAATACTCTTTGAAAAACACATCCCTTTGGAGAGGATAACACATCCCTCTTTGAGTTGTTGCATTATTTTGTCATTTGCTGAGCTTACTAAATGGACAATACTAGGCATTAGAAATATAGTAAGCAGAGTCTGCCTTCCAGGGAGGGATTCAGTCTATAAAAGGAAGACACACAAAAATCCTAATAATAAGGTATTTTTTTTTAAATAAATAAATTTTAAAAAATATTACAAGCAAATACCATTAGTTGATGGGGAAAAGCTCATTATTTTGGAAGAATTCCAGTTAGTAAGTTGAGAGGAGAGAATCACAATATTTCATGAAAATGATTCAGGCGACAAAACTATTAGGTGAAAGCTGGATGAGGAACTGGATGCCAAAGTATCTCTCCACAGATTCAGGGGAAACACCATCACTGTGGAAGCCCATTGATCAATGTGAACGTTATTAAAAGTAGAACCACCACCAGACTCCACAGCTTCTGTGGACAAAAATGTTGATATTTAATCTACTAAGGCCTTTAGACCTTATTTCCTGCCTATAAGAAACATGGAGAAAGAGAAAAGGAAGCAAATGGACAAGTCCAGAACATGTGACATACTATAGGACATACAAATTGACCCTGTTTCTTCAACAAGTCAATAGCAGAAGAGGAAAGACAAGAATGTTCTAAATTTATGAAAACTTGGCAAAATATTTTAAATCTTGAAATAAGTACATATAGTCATTATAAAAAATTTTAAATTAACCCAAAACCTATAAAATAGAAAGTTTCTATTTAAAGGTAACCACTTTGGAATATGACATGACAGGTTTTTATGTAATACATATATAAATACCCATTTATATCATTTAAAAATGAGTTTTATTGTATATCTTTCTGTTTGTGTCCATATTCTGTAAGATGAATTTCTGGAAGTGGACTTCCTTTCAGTGAAATGTATAGGTCAAGGCAGGGGGGCCAGGTGGTTGGTGATTTAAATTTTGATAAATACCTGTATTGCAAAATTTTGTTTTAGTAGACTGTTTCCAGTAACAATGTAAGGAAGTATCTGTTTATACACATAGTCTCTGTTACTGGGTACTATCAATCTTTTAAATCCCTTAATCTAATAAGCCATGAAAACAGTATTTATCTTCTGTGATAATGTCATGCAGGCAAGACCGAGACCTGACTGAGCCAGTAAAGATAAAACAAGCCACTGTAGATTTAGATGATTTATTACTTATATAAACAGCAAGAGGAACAGTAGTAAAAGACACCACCTCCCCACTTGTCCCACATTCCCAAAGGAACTAGGTAATTGTGACATGAGTTGTGGAACTCGTTGAGGAGCCAATTCTAAATGCAGCTAGGGTGGTATTTTTTTTTCGTTTTCTTTTTTCTTTTTTTTTTTTTTTCAGTCTGCAGCTGTATTCTGAGCTTCATACCTCATCAGAACTGGGGGGTGACAAGATACCATCTCATAATAGCTTCCCAGGGAGACAGAAAGGCAGGTGGGAGAAGGCCTCATGGCAGCTCCTCACAAATCTCTTATCTTTTGGGTACCATCAGGATCACGAGCTGCAGTTTGAGCCCAGGGAGTTAGGATGGGTCACACATCAGGATGTTGGAAGTCACTGAAGATGAAGGCAGGACTAGCAGTAGCAAGGGAAATCCTGAACCATGTGAATGAGGGGCAGTGCTGGACAGTTGGTGAAAGGCAGCAATGAGGACAGGTAGGAGGGTAGCCAAAGACTGTATCCTTAAGAAACAGGTTTTATGAAAGGTAGAGAGGTAATGGCCTAGGAGGGGTAATGTGGAGGAAAGTGGACCTTAACACCTTTCACAAAAAATAACTGAAAATGGATCATAGACCTAAATGTAAAATGCAAAACTATAAAACTTCTAGCACATAGGTGAAAATTTAGATGACTTTGTTTGGATGATAAGATTTGAGACTCCAACACCAAAAGCAAGAGCTGTGAAAGCATTGCTCAGGACACAGAGTTTTCTCCAAGCAATAAGTATCAAGGGATCCACAGACCAAGACCCTAACCAAGGAGTACGCGTACTGGGGATCAAGGTCTGGATACTTAAGACCCTGGAAATGGCAATGTGGACATCGGCCAAAGACCCTTGTTTCCTCCAAGCTTGCTCAGTCCAGCTGGACCACTTTGTACCAGACTCCTGAAAGAGGAGAATGCAAGGAGCTTCAAGGGCTATCCAGATGTGTCTTTTATCACCTTAAAACACTTAAGAAATCTGTAATACTGTAATTTTTACTTTATTATTGTTTGTTCTTTAGATAATTCTGCTTCCATTTATTTTAAAGTGACATTGCTATATTTGATAAAATCATAATTAAATTTCATCATAGGTATCCATTAATATTTGATTATTTTATAGATAGAAATATGAGAAAAGTTTAAAACACAGCTTCATCTGTTTGAGCCTTGACCATAATTAAGAAATCTGTGAAGAGGAGAGGTGGTATTCATGGGTTGGATTCCCAATAGTTGTTTGGTGGCACAGTCCCAGTCTTTACCCAATTCAAGCCGTTGGCAGATAGATGGATATTGTCCTTCTGTTCTTCTTACCCATTCACTTGCTTTCTTTATTTTCTCAAAAGCCCAGGGAATATTCCTAGATTTAAAAAAAAAATGTTTCCATCAATTTCAGAATATAATTACATATGAAATGTAATATGGTACCAAATCTAGCACATTAGCTCAAAATGATTCTGTCACATATTAAGATACTTAATACAGTTTTCTGACCTTTCATTAAAGTTCTACCAGCCTAACATACTTTTAACTTATTAAGTACATTCTTAAGTATATCACACCTATCACTTTCATTGTGCATCACAGACTTCCCAGCTGCTTTCAGGACAACTCAAGCATCTTCTAGCCTTTATGTATCTGTTTATTTTTATTCTCTTCCATTCCCCATCTGAATCCTACCCATTCTTCATGTACAAACTCAATCCTGTTTTACAAAGTAGGTTTTCAATTCTCCTTTTCACTGTACCAGGAATCCTCAACTTGATGAGTTATTTGCAAAGTACCTGAGAATCACCCATGAAACTGGCATATATTTAATTCTATTACATAAACTTACTAGTAAAATGTGCATATCAAAAACATCAAGTTTGTGCCTGTTAAATGCTGTCAAATATTCCAGACTATCAAATATTCAAGTCTATTCAAGCCTCAGAAAAATTCTTAAGTCTTTTATTAATATTAGTTAGCTGCTTTTTTTGTTTTGTCATCTGCTAGAACTTGTTAGCAAACAAGTGGTAACATGTATTAATGTTTTAAAGAAAATTCTATGGGGAGAAACTAAAAATTTGAAAAATTCTCTTCATCTCCCTAACTTTTTCCCTATAAACTGGGGAGGGCCATCAGAGTAGTGTGGTGGTCAAGCCCTGGGTTTAAATCCTGATTCTGCAATCACACAGCATTGCCTGTGTGATATTTGGCAGCTTTCATTCCACACTGGAAGTCTCAGTTTCCTCAATTATGATAACAATATGAGATTTTGTGGGTTGTTGAGGGGATTAACAAAATGCATGTTTAATAGCCCTTGGCCCAGAATAGGCAGTCAGTAAATATTTGCTGACTATCACAATGACTTGAACATACCAAATAGCAACAGACCAAAGTGGTTAAATGATTTGTTTCTCAATAATTATTAATTTACTTAATAGAAATTGAAAGCAACAAAACTGACTTTAAATATTCTCACTAATTCAACTGGCCTTCCTTTAATCCAGGTGGCCTTGAGACTTCTGACTGATCCTCCCACTAGTGTGAAAATTTTGTTAATACACCTCCATCCTACATGCCACTGCATTCATTTTATGTACATCATACAGGAGGAAAAATAGAAAAGTTTTAAATAGGCAATAAAGAGGAAGAAAAGTCATTTAAAAGTTTTATTAAAGTGCCAATGAACCATTTTGCTTTCACAGTAATACAGTAAGAGCCAT